CTGTTAAGTAATACAAAAATAAAAATACATCAGCCAATGTGATAAACTCTCTTTCTCTGGGATAAGTCAATACTCAGCAGGTCAGAGTGGGTGGAAAACTTATATCAAATCTGACAGATCAAACTGACATCAATCTGATACACCTTATGTTAGAAAGAACAGTGAATAAAACTTGCTAGATCTAATATTTTTCATATGTACAGTTGAAGTCAGAATTATTAGCCCCCCCTGAATTATTAGCCCCTCTGTTTATTTTTTCTGTTTACGAAGATAAGATTTTTTTCAACACATTTAAAAACATAATAGTTTAAATAACTTGTTTCTATTAACTGATTTATTTTATTTTTTCCATGACGAAAGTAAATAAAATTTGACAAGACATTTTTCAAGATATCCAGCTTAAAGTGACATTTAAAGGCTTAACTAGGTTAATTAGGTTAACTAGGCAGGTTAGGGTAATTAGGCAAGTTATTGTATAACGATGGTTTGTTCTGTAGACTATCAAAGAAATATATAGCTCAATATATAGATCAATAACTCCAATAATGATTCAGGTTTTTAAAAAGATTTGACTCAGCAGGTTTTTAACGATCGCGTGTGTGCTCTCTCTCGTGAATGCGTGGCGGTCACAGAGCTGCGTACAAAAGGCTGCACAGTTGTTCAAATCTGCATTTGCTGACAGACTGAGCTACTTATCAGAGATGTCGGTCCGACTCAATTTAATTGGATGAACATTTTTTAGTTTTATTCATTCATTCATTCATTTTCTTGTCGGCTTAGTCCTTTTATTAATCCGGGGTCGCCACAGTGGAATGAACCACCAACTTGTCCAGCAAGTTTTTACGCAGCGGATGCCCTTCCAGCCGCAACCCATCTCTGGGAAACATCCACACACACATTCACACACTATGGACAATTTAGCCTACTCAATTCACCTGTACCGCGTGTCTTTGGACTGTGGGGGAAACCGGAGCACCCGGAGAAAACCCACGCGAATGCAGGGAGAAAATGCAAGCTACACACAGAAACGCCAACTGAGCTGAGGCTCGAACCAGTGACCCAGCGACCTTCTTGCTGTCAGGCGACAGCACTACCTACTGCGCCACAGCTATATAAATCATTATATATATATATATATATATATATATATATATATATATATATTAATCGAGCCAAAGAAAAAAAAATAAAACTTTCTCCCAAAATCCTTCATCAATGATTAAAAAAAATACAAATTCAATGATTCCGCAATAATTTTTTTGCGACAGCACTACCTACTGCGCCACAGCTATATATATATATATATATATATATATATATATATATATATATATATATATATATATATATATATATTAATCGAGCCAAAGAAAAAAAAATAAAACTTTCTCCCAAAATCCTTCATCAATGATTAAAAAAAATACAAATTCAATGATTCCGCAATAATTTTTTTGCAAATGTCTCTATATATATGAAGAGTTTAGATGCAAAAACCTTAAATTGTCATCAGAATTTTTCCTCTAAAAAGAGCATTTTTATCAGGTTTCTGTGTGTATGTTCTGTGAAGTCACTTTTATGGCAAAGAATAAGTCCTTTTTCTTTATATTTTTATCAATTTCTCAGTAAATTTATGCAATGTATTTTAAGGCATTTAAAAATTTATTGAACTGAAATATTTATTAAAATAATATTTTAGTCACAAAACATATTTAGAAATTAAAAGATAATAAAATTCAATTCAAGCAAAACATTGCAAAAATAAAAATCCAACCAACAAAATTATAAACAAACAAAAAATATTTAATACAGTATATAAATGTGGGTATACTCGTTTTTGGACTGTTATCATAAGTTATTTTGTTAGATAAGCTTCAGATTTGGCTTCAGTACTGACTAATCTAATGTGTATGCACAAATCTAATATTGTATAGCCTCTATTAAAATATGAATTTAAAAAATAGATCTGTGAGGGGTGTGCTTATATGCTTAGCACTGTATTCCACAGTTCATGTCAAAAGTTGTTCTTTTTAAGCACTCAAAATGTGTTTCTGAAGTAGCTAAAAGGAAGACAGGCTTATACACAACTACCATATTCCCTTGATCCATTAATACATTTAACAACAAACATTTGGTTAACTAAGATGGTCTAAGCTGTAGTAAGCAGGTGTTTGTACAGATTGAAAATCTATGTACTGTGCTCAAAACAAGTGAGATGGGACATTTGTCCAGCCAAGTGTGTGGCAACAAGCCAATCGCAGAGTTGTAAAGTCCACAGCTAATCCAGGGATTGGGTTCCACTGCATGTTTCAGGCAAGATCACGATCTGCTCGCTAAATTATATTCTGATTTGGCTGAGCTCGGCGTCCAATTTAGGACTGAATCATCTGACCAGCTAAGTACCAATGCAGACATGAGCTTTCCAAATTACAGCCTTTTAAGGGAGGAAATAGGAATGTACGGCATCATTAGTTTTGAAAGAGTTTCTTGTTTAATCTTGTTTTTATTATAGATTTTTTTTTTTTATCTTGCTCTAGTTTCTATTTTTTTCTCTCTTGGATCAAATTGATGTCAGAAATGCTGCTTTATTTTCAAAGCCTACTGGACAAATTAATTAACTATAGTATAAAATCATCAAATGTGAAGGCAAGACATAGCATGTCAGAAAGAAATGGCCAGTTTTTATACAATGTAAAACTGCTGTGAACATGGCATCAAACATTCCCCAAAGGCACAAGAGCACTTTATGCGAACCGTTTATGTAATAACCTTGTGACCCCTGTGAAAACTCATAGGCAAAATGAAAAAAAAGAAAGAGAAAAAAAGAAAAAAGGGAAAGCATCCATCAACCTCCTTTCCCCTCCTTCTGTGATATCCGTGCTTTTTTTTCCTAGTCTAGCTTACATCCTAAAGTCACTTGTAAGTTGCAAGTTGACACAAAATTAATATCTTAAGTTCCTTAATATCTTATGTCTCTCTGACATCCAATGATGTCTGGATTTCTCGATTCAGGGCAACATGAGAGATGTAAATGTTTCAAAGATGGCATGATTTATTGAGGAGGTTTAGAAGAACAGGGCAAAAGAGACCAAGAGAGGGAGGTGTGGGGCAGTAGCACTCCTGCAGAGCCTCAAGCTACACAGCACACTGAAAGAGGAAGTTAACTCGCTTTTTAACTAAAATGACAAAGAAAATGCACAAAGACAGAAGAGCAGCTATTATATTGTCTTAGGAAGAGACTTAACTGTTCTACTTTTTGACAAATTGGTGGCAAACAAATATTAATATTTGCACAATTTGAGTCATTTAAGATTTTTGGGGATAAAAAGTCTTTAACCTATAACTCTTAAAGATTGTATGAAAACAAAAACAAATTAACAAATGTCATAAAAAACAATACATTTAGACACTAATTTGCCAGGATATAAAGCAGTGTCATGTAAAACAGCTGTTTTGGACTTTGGAAAATATTAGATATTAGATTAAACATTTGTTATTACATCCAAAACCTTTTTTAACATCCAAATCAACATAACAGAAAGATTTCTGAGATATTCTGTGACACTCAAGATTATATTATAGATTATAAAGAAACATAAATAATATCATAAATAAAATCAAACATTTTTAAAATCTATTTAAAACATTAATGCAACATCAATACATCAAATCCAACTATTAAGGTTGTTGTGATTATTGTCAGACTCTTTACCAGAGTAACCAATTGCTTCAGTCTTTTATTCAGAAATTTAATCCTGCTCCAAAAGAAATGTGACAGAGAGAGCGAGAATCCAAACCTCTATAATGACAATTTAGAAGTGATTACCAGCTGAAGCAAACTTTTCCAGAATGACTGCTCTTGCAGGCCATTTCTAAATGATGCCATTGCACCATTTTGTTCTCCATTTTCACTTGAAGTACATCAAAATCATTAGGAAGCCATCTGTCATGTAGGCTCTAACTGTATGGCAAATTACACTCTAAAGCAAATGTCAAACTCAAGACCTGCAGCCAAAGAGCATACAATTCACACCAAATGCAAATGTATGTATTCATGCGACTAGATTACATAGTACATTTAACCTGGGCAGTGAGAGTGATTTAGAATTAGGAAGGCATTTGCTGCAAACCTGTAGACTTCAAGTTCAAGATATTCAACTTAACTCAAATTGAACATTTCTACGAGGCAAAATGCAACTTGCGAGTAATGTAGAGCAAGTGACATGTGCTTTGCTTTTGGTGTGAACCAAGCATTGCAGGTTGACTATGAACTACACTACCTGACAAAAGTCTTGTCGATCCCACTTATAAGAGCAACAAATAATAAAATATGTGCTGTCCATTACATTACAAACCCAAGGAGAGGGCCAATTCTTCAGCAGGATAGCGCTCCTTCTAATACTTCAGCCTCCACATAAAAATTCCTGAAAGCAAAGAAGGTCAAAGCGCTCCAGGATTGGCCAGCCCACTCACCAGACATGAACATTATTGAGCATGAGGTAAGATGAAGAAAGAGGGAGTGAAGATGAATCCTAAGAATCTTGATGAACTTCCAGAGTCCTGCAAGAACGGTTTCTTTGCCATTCCAGATGACTTTAATAATACATTTTTGGAGTCATTGCAAAGATGTTTGGATGTAGTCGTCCAAGCTCATGGAAGTCACACACAATATATATATATATATATATATATATATATATATATATATATTTTTTTTTTTTTTTTTTCCCACTGCACCATGACTTTATATGTTATACTGTACCTTATTTCTGTTAAGTCACAATACTTTTGTCTAAGCAGTCAGACCTTACTGTCTTAATTAAATAATTAAAAATCATTTTATGATCATATTTTATTTTGGTAAAATCAGCATAATCTAGAGATCTTTGCCTTATATATGAGCCAACTCTGATACCAAATGATCAATGAGAAGTTATCATGTGTTGTGCCTAAAACTTGGACAGGCGACAAGACTTCAGTTAGTTAGTGTACATCTACCATAA